CCTCTTTCTCTTCCTCTTCCTCCTCCATCTCTTCCTCCTCTTCCTCCTCTTCTTCCTCCTCTTCCTATTCTTTCTCTTACTCCTTCCGTTTGCTTTATGTGCGCGAGGAAGGGGAGGGGGAGGAGTGTTAGGTAGGTTTCCCGGAAGAAGGGGGGGGGGGGGGAAGGAGTGAAATAAATCGTACTGTCGGAGGTTGGAGGAAGAAAATGAGAGAGGGAAAGGGAGAGGGAAAGGGGGAGAAGAAGGAGAGGAAGAAGATGAGAGAGGGAGAGGGAGAGGGAGAAGGGGGAGAGAGAAGATGAGAGAGGGAGAAGAGGGAGAGGGGGAGGGAGACAGAGAGACATGGACAGAGACAGAGATAGAAAAAAATAAATGGAAAAAAAGGAAAAAAGGAAAGAGAGAGAAGAAAAAAAAACAGAGTAAGAGAGAAGACACTTTGTGAACTTGAAGGATGACTGTTGGAGACTCCCTGATGGAGGAAAGGATGTTGGTCGTGTTGGTGGTCGTGGGTGGTGGGGGGGGGGAGAAGAAACTGGGGTTAAGAAAAGAGGAAATGGGGTTTGACGTTTATAAATTTTCGTTGCTTTACTCTTTATAGTTATTATTTTTTTAAGGACTTGTTTTACATACTTGTTTCGGTTGTAACAATAGTCGTTATCATAATCTTAGGCCCAATTTTAATAAAAATAGTAAACATGGTATGACGATGATGATGATAAGCAATATAGCAATAGTAACATCATTAATAATTGCCTTAAAATCGTCGCTATTGTCTGTCAATTCCCCTGTCTCTTTTCCTTTTCTCTCTCCCTCTTTCTCTCCCTTTCTCTCTCTCTCTTTCTCTCTCTCTCTTTCTCTCTCTCTCTCTCTCTCTCTCTCTCTCTCTCTCTCTCTCTCTCTCTCTCTCTCTCTCTCTCTCTCTCTCGCATGCGCGAACACACACATACACACACACACACACACACACACACACACACACACACACACATACACACACACACAAACACACACACACACAAACACAAAATAACAAACAAACAAAAAAACACTAAAACAATCAAATAAAAACCCACACAGGCCTGTTTCAAAGACACGATGATCCGCATTTCCTTGCAGAAACACGCATGATTTCACGGACAAACCCAGACGAGCAGCTGCGGAAAATTCTTAACGACGAATGAGCAGGTGTGTCAGTGGGCGTGAGAAGCAGATCAGCTGAGAAAGTCGCTAACAGTTTAAGAAGAAGAAAAAGAAGAAGAAAAGGAAGAAGATGAAGAAGAAGAAGAAGTAGAAGAAGAAGAAGAAGAAAAAGAAGATGACGATGAGGATGATGAAGATGAAGATGAAGATGAAAATGAAGAAGGAGGAGGAGGAGGGAAAAGGGAAAGAAATAGAACCAAACTCGATAGACAGATAGATAGATAGATGGATAGATACATAGATACATAGATAGATGGACAGACAGACAGAGGAGGAATAGAAAAGAAAAGCTGAGCGAGAGAGAAAAATAGGGAGTAGGAGAGGGGGAGGAGATAAAGAGAGAGAGAGAAGACAGACAGGCCGAACATGAAGTTTAAAAAAAAAAACTATATAAATAGAAATACAAATAAACAAGAAAATAAAAATAATAATTAGAAAGACTTATTAGAAAAAAAGAAAGCATAACGCAAGGGATCTAACGACATCATTAAGAGGAAAGGAGAAATTTAGTGTTTGTTTGATAACGCAATCACGAGATAGAGGGTAAGGGGTGGTGAGGGGGGAGGGGGGAGGTAGGGACGAAGATTTGGAATTAACAATAAGATTTCCGTGACTGATGACACAATGATGTGTATTGTTTGTCACTTGATGATAATGATAATGTCATTGTCATCATCTCTCCTCCTCTTCCTCTGCCTCTTCCTTTTCCTTCTCCTCCTTCTCCTTCTTCTTTTTCTTTTCTTTTTCTTTTTCTTTTTCTTTTTTCTTTTTCTTTTTCTTTTTCTTTTTCTTCTTCTTCTTCTTTTTCTTTTTCTTTTTCTTTTTCTTTTCCTTTTTCTTCTTCTTCTTCTTCTTCTTCTTCTTCTTCTTCTCTTCTTCCTCCTCCTCCTCCTCCTCTTTCTTCTTCTTCTTCTTCCTCTTCTTCTTCTTCTTCTTCTTCTTCTTCTTCTTCTTCTTCTTCTTCTTCTTCTTCTTCTTCTTCTTCTCCTCCTCCTCCTCCTCCTCCTCCTCCTCTTCCTCCTCTTCCTCTTCATCATCATCACCTTCATTTTATTGGTATCATCACCATCGTCATCACCATCCTCACCATCATCACCCCATCAGCAGCAGCATAATATTATCATCATCATCTTCATTATCGTCATTATGACCACGAAGATGATAATGACGATAATAATAACCATCATAATACTGAAAATAGTGAATTTCATCATTATCACTGCTATTATTATCATTTTCAGCGGTGATCATAAACAGTGACAAAATATAATATAAATAAAAAAATTACTGGAGAACATCA